CACAAATAGAAAAAAAGATAGATATACAGAGAGAGAGAGAGAGAGAGAGAGAGAGAGAGAGAGAGAGAGAGAGAAAGAGAGAGAGAGAGGTGAGAGTGATTGAGCTGGGGAGGTGGCTCAATTGTCAGAGGCCTGAAGACCTGAATTGGAGCCCCAGGAACCAAACGGTGGATGAAGAGAACTGACTTTTGAAAACCATCCTCTGACCTCCACATATGCACTGCCAAAGAAAGAAAGAAATGTAGTTTTATAGGAATTTGCGTATTTTCTATTTGGTTCTTTGTGGATAGTAAGGAAAGACACTAAATTACATGTGGTGTGGTGTTTAAATGTTATCTTCAGGACTGAAATTTGATTGATCCTGGGAGGTGGAGCCTTCAAGAGGTGTCAAGGTCACAAGCTCTTGGCCTTCTTGAATGGACAGTGAGTTCTCCTATCACAGTCTCTCACCCTTTGACCTGCAATGTGATGCTTTCTGTGGTGTTATGATGCAGAAGAAGGAAGGAAGGAAAGAAGGAAGGAGGGGAGGGGAGAGGGAGTGAGGAAGGAAGGAAGGAAGGAAAGAAGGAAGGAAGGAAGACCACTCACAGACTTACTGTACCCCCATGCTCCCTCTGACTTGGCATGCTGGGTCCCATGGGTTCCATCCAGCTAAAGACTCACCATCCAAATCTGAGGCTCTGGCTTGCTGTGAGCCTGCATCTAAAGGCAGCCATCCTGCCTGCTTCACCTCTTCAGGCCTTGATATCTGTCTCTCCTCTGATAACTTTAATACTGTTTGAAAGGGGAAGCTGTGGTCACCTCAAGTCTTCCTTCGGTATCTTTGCTGATTATCTGCTCTTCTGCAGCTCATGGCTTTCCTAGCAAATGGGCTGAATGGGGCTCTCAGAAAAATGGGACAAAGGCTGGGCATGGTGGTTCCTGTCTGTAATCCTGCTGAGGCAGGAACATCATGAGTTCAAGCCTGGCCTGTGCTACAAAGTTAACACTCCTCCACCAATGATTTTACCTGGAATTTATTAGTCCCCTTTATCATGAATATCCAAGGCTCTGATTCTGGAATTTTTCAGGAGGCCCACGGCAGGAAACAGATTAAAGAGAGAATGTCATGAGTCAAACCAGTTCATGTGACAGAGATGAGGAAAATCTTCAGAGGTGAACAGACACAGACACACAAAGACAGGCAGACAGATGCTGCAAGGCAGGAACATGGCAGGAACCAGAGAAGGGGAGATGGGGAACAGAGGCAACTGACAGGAACACAGAGAGGGAGTGGTCTGAGAGCTAGAGGGAAAGACAGATCAGAGAAAGACAGACAGCAGGAAAATAAGATGAAGAGAGTCACACAGAGAGGAAGTGATCAGGAAGACCACAGGCAAACAAGGAGACGGGGAAAGAAGGTCTTTGAGGTCCTTGGGAAACATAGAGGTGACTTTGTCTCCAAGGACGCTATTATTGCAGAAGCCAAGTTGCAATCTAGTGTGAAGATGGGAGACCTTTCCCTCTCAACTCCCACAAAGCCTCAGGCCTTAGAGACCCAGAACACTAAAATTTTAATCATCCTTAAGGGGTTGATTAACTCAACTTCCTTCAAAACTTGCTCATGGGAGCTTATTTGGATGCTCATGTTTTGCAGAGAGTTTGTTTTTTGTTTTGTGCCCTTGTTGGTTTCCTGACAAGAGACTGTCCACAGGCTTCATTCACAGAAGAGAAGGACCCAGGGTGAAGCCACTGTGGGTGGGTACGTGCAAAGGTGGATGTGGCTGGGCTTTATAGTATAAGTATGCGTCCTAAAGATTACCCTTGTTTAGGGATGAAGAGATGGCTCAGAGGTTAAGAACACTGACTGTTCTTGCAGAAGACCCAGGTTCGAATCCCAGCACCCACAGGGCAGCTAACAACTGTTCGAAACTCTAGTTCTATGGAATTCAATGGCCAATGGCCCTTTCTGTCCTCCTCAGGCATTGCACAACACAGTGCTCTTACATACATGCAGGCAATACACACAAACACATGAAATAAAAATAAACAAAATACATGAAAAAAAGATTACCCTTGTGTAAGGCTGGGGGAGAATAGGAAAGAAGGTAGAGGTCGTGAGTCAAGGGTTGGAGTGTGGAGTGTGGAGAAGAGATTACAGTGTGCTAATGGCAAGATGAATTGCAGGAGAGAGGAAGAAGACCAAGTACCGTGACGAATAGGGCTGGGAAAGGACAGTCACAGAGTGGGAGACAGCATGAGGCCAAGCACAGAGAGACAACAGAAGAGTGTGAGAAAGAACTTATTATTTATTTTTGACCTTTTTGAGACAGGGTCTCCCTGCAGCCCCAGCTGTCATGGAACTCACTATGTAGAGCAGGCTGGCCTTGAACTCACAGAGATCTGCCTGCCTCTGCCTCCTGAGTGCTGGGATTAAAGGCACGCACCAACACGCCTGACAAGAAAGAACTTTTTAAAACATTTTATTTATTATTTTTATTTTATGTGTATGAGTACATTGCCTATCTGTATGTAAGTGCATGCATGCTGTGCAATGCCCACAGAGGTCAGAAGAGGGCATCAGATTCCCTGGAACTCAAGTTACAGATGGTTGTTGTGGGTACTGGGACCTGAACCCAGATTCTCTGCAAGAGCAGCTGGTGCTCTTAATCACTGAGCCATCTCTCCAGCCTGAGAAAGAACTTTTGACTAGGAAAAAAAAAAAGAAAGTAAATCATGAGAGAGAAAGTTTAATGGGGGAAGGAAGAGGCTGTCATGTGTAGAGACTGCACAGCTGGGTATGAAAGCCTGCCTTTGCTGAAGAAAAGAGCAGGCAAGTGAGAGAAGAAGAGGCAGCGGCGGCTACAGCTACAAGGAGCAGAGAGCCTTCAGGGTGGGAGAGAAGACCATCTTGGAGGAGTAAATATGTGGGACCCTGACTTGTCTAACCACTTCTTTCTGCTTCTGTAATCTGCTTGGCTTAAGACAGCGCTAACTCCATTTTGACTAGCTGTTTCAGGCGTGTTGTAATCTTAAGCTACCACCCCCAACCCGGAAAGCTTTAGATCAAGCAAGCCCAGGCATATAGCAGCCTTATAAGGTAAAAACAGAAACTTCTGGCCCCACAGATAACAGCACATTCCAATGCCCTAAAGACAGCCCCTACCAATAAGAATCCTCCCCTTACTGAGGGCATAGGACCATCCAATCATTTTAAAGGATACTTGGCACGTGTGGGCGTCTGTGAAACTTCCCTATAAAACCCTGCCCCACCCTAGAGTGGGGCGCTCAGTACGGATCCGCTAGGTCGGTGAAATCTGAGGGCCCGAGCTTAAGCCCAAATAAAGGCTCTTTGCTTTTGCATACTCTCCGGACTCCTTGGTGGTCATTGGGGGTCGCAGGATCAGGGTGCAACAAATATATTTGAATACCATGTTTGGGAGAAGAGGATTAAGCATTTATTAAAAAGAGGTGCTCTGTTTGAGAAATGGAAAACAAAATATACTTGAGCAGAACACTGGTAAGGAACAGGTACGGGCTTTCAACTAGTTTGTTGTTGTCGTTTAATTCAAGGATGGCCTGGAACTGTCTGTTAGACTGGATTGGTCTGGATTGTACATTGATCTTCCTGTCTCTGCTAGGATAACATGCATGTGCTACTACATCCTGTTTAATGTTTACATTAAAAATATTTTAAGTTTAGAGCTGGGCGTGGTGGCATACACCTTTCATCCCAGCATTTGGGAGACAGAGACAGGCGGATCTCTGTGAGTTCAAGGCCAGCCTGGTCTACATAGTGAGTTCCAGGACAGCTGGGGCTACAGGGAGACCCTGTCTCAAAAAGACCAAAAAAAAATTTTTTTAGAAGTTTTTAGCACTCAAGAGGCAGAAGAAAGCAGATCTCTGTAAGTTCAAGGCCAGCCTGGTCTACACAGCGAGTTCCAGACCAGCTGGAGCTACAGGAAGACCCTGTCTCAAAAAAAGACAAAAAAATTTTTTAAATTTTTGACATATTTATTTTTGTGTATATGAATGCTTTGTGTGCATGTATGTATGTGTACCCATGTGTGCAATGCCTGTAGAAGCAAGAAGAGGGCATTGGATCCCCTGGAAATGTAGTTATGGGCAGCTGCTAGCCGCCATGTGGGCACTGGGAACCAAATATTGGTCCTCTTCAAGAGCACCAAGTGTTCTTAACTACTAAGCTATCTCTTCATCCCCTATGTTTACTTTTTGTGGGGTTTGTAATTTATTTTATTTTATTATCTTTATTTTATGTGTATGAGTGTTATGCC